TTCCCTTCTACCGGTATATTACCTTAGGAGACCATCCAATATAAAATACATTTAATCGAGGGAGAGATGGAGCTATGATACAATACATGACATATTTCCTATTTAGAATATATCACTGGATGACGCAAGTTTGACGTATGAAACAATCCTTTTATAATGTCGCCTGTACTCGTTTAAAGAGACAGGTCAGGAAATCTGACGCAGAAAAATATAAATCTTTATAAATTATTTTCGTATACCGGTTTGTATATTTGGAATGGCAGAAAAAGACATTTTCTTACCGTCTTTGGGAACTCATAGTGCTACAAGTTATTTTTTGAAAAGAAATATGAATAATTTTTAATGCCTCAAAAGGAACTGTCCTTTAAAAAGAGGGTTATAATTAAATAAGCAAACATTTTGAGATATTCGTTCTTTTCCCCCCTAGGGTCATCGATAAACGGCGCCACGGCCAGTCGCCATGTTGCAGCTTACAGTAGTTTTCAGTTTTGCCTGAAGGTGACCTTCTTGTTGACATTCCTCAACTCACACATGTCCCCGCCCAGGTGACCGCGTCAAGGAGGGTATTACATCAATCACACCGCCGATGACTTACGTGGGCCATTGAATGAGAGGGCAAGAGGACATATGTTTGTCAGGCCGACAGACTTAATAAATAAGGAATATGAAATGAACAAATGGGGAATGTGATGGCTACATGCCCAAATATACGTCATCACTGGCGCACCGCAGTCCACGCCCCCCATGATGAAGGACAACCGGGGATGATACACGTTGCACTTTTATTGAAAGAAAAGTAAAAGAATTACAAAGCAAAATATGCTGGGGGCGTGCCGGCAATGCAGCAGTATTTTTTTTTCAGTTTTATGACAAGTAAATTGACTCGTGGTTAAAGGAAGGAATGTATATATTTTTGCACATAATGGAGGATATACAGTATATCAGTGTTTGTATTGAAATGGAATTTTACTCATCATTTTACATTGAAGAACAGCTGAAATTATTAGAAGCTGTCTGGTTCTGCAGGACCCGCACAAATATTCTGTTCAGAGTTACAATGTTTAAAATGAATACCATGGAACGAGTTATCGTCTTTACAAATTCTCAATATATATTTGAAAAACTTGCAGCTCAAGATCAGAAATTTTTGAGGAGAATGCTTTAGTCCACTCTAAGGATATAAGGATTCTGTGCTTATAACAGGTTTATCATTCTGTCATTGGAATTTAAGACAGTCGAAAAATTATGCCACTGCTTGAAGACAGTAAAAGCAGTTCTTGGCGGTTGCTTAAAACGATAAGCACCGGTAGTGGAAGACTGACCGTGCCGTATAACAGACAAATACCTGTGTTTATTGGCACCCGAGGAAAAATCTGGTGCACCGATTTCGAATCGAATAAAGTGTTTTTCACCGAGTTTAAGTGTTTTTTTCTTTTTGTCCTTTATTTCACAACATAGGGAAGAAACATAGAACGCATGCCTTACATCTAAAACGTTGACCCCCTCTTTCCTGGCGGATTATATGACAGGGGGGCCACAAGGATGAACATAATACGAGGGGGTGGTAAGGGGAATGGTCCCTGTCATATCGATCACAGGAGATAATTTTTTCACAATATGCAAGGTATAGGGATACACTGAAAAGATTTTTTGTCTCGTTTAAGTCGTTTCATCATCGTTTTCCTTTTATCTATTTATTTATCGGAATCTTTTTTTCGGGGGGGGGGGGGGGACACATGCCGGCTCCTGGAACAGCCATTGCCCTCTGCTCCTCCTCCGCCTCCTCACCAATACTAGAATTTTCAAAGAATGTTAACACACCTATTTCGTCATTTCCATTTGAATAATAATACAATTAAACCGAATAGCTAGCTGTGGTTTGACTCACGTCTGTCAAAATGAACCCAAATGGATGATACATGTTATACGATTAACGCCACTATTATCGCTATTTATCAAAAGGTATCTTGGATATTTTGAAGTGACTGATTAACTATTCTACGCAAGGAGGAAGAATAAACATCAGCATTAACGTTAATGACTACACCTCCTGATCAAATATTTTTTCAAGGGGAAGAGATACATAAGACAAAGATGATGATGTTAAAGATGGTGTTCTTTTGGATGTGCCTTTCCATTGTTTCCCTAGTTTTTATATCTGGCATATTAATTCGGTAAGTATGCGTAGGCTTTTTTTTTACTGAATCCATTTTTAAGGAATCATTTTTTTCCCTATGACTAACATATATTGCATGTTTTGTACGACTATATTTACCACTTTCCATCTCGCGGAAGCAAACTGTGTCAAGTAAGAAGTAACTAAAATGTTCTGATTTTATATGGCATAGTTCCCTCAAAGATTGACGGAAATAATTTTAAAATACCACAACGAAAGTGGCTTGGGATATCACGACTAGTTACAATACTGAAGGTGTACTGTAAAATAGAAATTAAACGAAAAATGTTTCGATGTTTACATGTTCAAGTAAAAAAACGTGCATTTTGTGAGCGGTAAAATATTCTCGATTTCATTTTCAGATGGACGTATATCGCGGAAGTTGGAGGACAAGAACAAACGGTATTAAAAGTACGACAGAAGAGATATGATGTTAAACCAGCCAAATTTTGTACCCCTCAGTCAGGTACAAAAAACAAATTATGGGGACAGAAAAAAATTATACAATTATTTGAGTTAACTAATACAGATACAAAGACAAGCGGGTTGATAACTTGGGCTTTGTTTCACTACGCTTAATGTAAAGAAGTATGGATTCCGTGTTAGTGCACCAGTGAAAAACTGGGGATGACCTACTAATAAACCTCACTCTGGGGCTTTAATTGATCGAGTTGGAAATAATGAAGTTCTTAGTAGTTGAAGAAAAGACCTCTATATGTCTTCACTGACGGACCTCAACATATTTAGGTTTCATTTGTATTTAAGTGACAGTAGACGTTTACTGGTCATTAATGGCTTGATATGGCCCCGTTATTTATACGAAACAAAATGTCACAACTAATCTATTTTGCGTTAGGCCAAAGTGACTTGGCACATACAAACATATTTCACACATTAATTAGCGATTTATAACGTGCGCACTGGGTATATTTATCACAATAAGTCAAAAGGACGTATTTTGTGTTCTAAACATCTCGTAAATGTCGACTTCTTGTTTCACATATGTAGGTCTTACACTTGATCTTCGAGAAGACGGATATGCATGTACAGTATCAGGGGCGGATCCAGAATTATTTGAAGGGTTTTTTTAGAAATGACAAGCCGCGGCGTTGGGAGGGCCTTGAAATTTTTTGGTATTTTAGAAGCCGAACGGTGTCATTTGGTCCGGTTTAGAGCTATGATTCAGCTAGTCAAAATTCTAATTTCAAGAGGGGAAATCGAAGGGGAGAGGTCACGAACCCCCCCCCCCCCCCCCCGAAATCCGCCACTGAATATATAGGTCCTGTATTGCTTTGTATGAAGTGCCTTGAAATAATATTATGATGGAACTTTAATTTTGAAACATTCTGTCATGCATCTGGCTGACACTTTGTTTCACATGTAAACATAAATTTTCCTATATCCTTTTTCAGAGAATAATTATCGCGTCCATATTCAACGCATGTCACCAAATGTGACGGGGAAATTGTTTGAAAACCTCAGCCCTGGTGGCGCGTGGCAGCCTACGTCATGTGTACCACGTGATCACGTGGCCGTCATCATTCCGTATCGTGACCGGCAGGAACACCTTGATATTCTGCTCCAGAACTTGCATCCTTTCCTTCAATCTCAAAATATTCATTATGAGATATTTGTCATAGAACAGGTAGGGATTGTTGCCAAACAAATACACAGGCTCAGTTCGTGCGATTTCTACTTTTACTTTTATTGTGGCACACTTCTGCGATTTCTATGTCTGTTTTGCGAAGCCTACTGTTGGTCACGCGATCCTGCTGCGTATATCTAAGGAAAAATAATTAAAAAGAAATATCTTGTTGACTATATTATCACATGCGTGCAGTGGTAAACAAAAATCATGCCCACTTAGTAACTCTTATGCATAGACGATTCCCGTTTAATAGCATTGTTCGTTCTTATTCATGCCATAATTTTATTTAAAAGGTTTACTACTTAACTTCCCTTTGTGAACCATTTTAACATTTTGTTATCCCATATGATTTTAGGCTCCTTCAACAATTTTCAATCTCGGCCTCATTCGAAATGTGGGTTTCCTCGAAGCCAGTGCCACCTACAATTTTACCTGTTACATATTTCATGATGTGGATAAGATCCCCTTGAACAATCTCCTGCTATATAGATGCCCAACAGATAAAGCGGTTCATTTTGCCTCTGCTGAGGATAGATTCAAGTATTCGTAAGTTTATGGCTCCCATAGACATTAAACCAAACTCATGGTTTAGAACCTCGGTTTTGGGACAGATATTACTAAATTGCTTATTTGCGATATTTCAAAATGATTGCCAGATACGCCTACAAGAAATGCCCGTCGCAGACAAGAAAAACAACTTAGTCAACATACACGTAGTAGAAAATAGGCTGGCTCTGTATCACTTTTATTCTTTAAAATTCAACTTTCTGAAAAGAAATATTTGACCCAAGTTTTACTAGTACATGTACCTGTACATGTGCATGTTACATTGAGAGTCTGCCAAAATGTTATCTTCAACAATTATTTTGAACCACACCCTCTTGTTGCACATCAAATGGTTGTAATAGAATGAACTCCTACATTTCAGTGTTCCGTACTACAGATACATTGGCGGTGTGCTCGGGTTTCCTGCTGAGGCATTCAGGAAGACCAATGGCTATCCCAACGGTTACCTTGGATGGGGAGGGGAAGACGACGACTTCTACTTCCGGTAAGGATAAGCTCACGCTTTCGGAGGATCTCCCTCCACCTCTACCCCACTAGAATAAATGAATAAATAAATAAATAAATAATTAAACGTTTTTGTAAGCTGTCTTAACGAAACCAAGTGACTTTTCATTTCCTGTGCATTTTGGAATTATTTACATGTATTTTCAAATTACCTACATTTATTACGATGTAAAAATCTTTTAAATGTGCAAGCATGTCGAGAGAGGCGAGGAACAGACTTGTGCCCCCACTCCCTAGCTTTTCACAATCTTGGAACCGCCAGTGGATCCTGCAGCTGATAATATAAAAATATCATCGTACTTTGTTTCAGAATGCAGTCTCAGAACGTATCATTTACACGCGCTGACAGCAAACTGGGACGTTACCGAGTTTTTCATCATCCTATCCTAGCCAATCCATCGAGTGGGTGGGTTATCTTATTTTTTTCATTTCCTTTATAATACAGCATGTGGGAATGATGACGTGAAAAGAAGCCTGTGAGATTCGTCTTCGGTCTGTTTCACAAAAGTTGTAGGACCAAAAGCTGATTTTGTCTGTGCATATAAGTCAAATCTCAATTTTGTGTAGCAATAACAGACTTCCCTGCACAAACGTGTAGTATTTATGAGTTTCCGTAGTTTTTTCTCCCATCAAACTAATCAATTAACTTATCGCAAATCATCTTTTTGACAACATGTTCTACATGTTATTTCCACGATATTTTATATAGCTTTATAATATATTAAATACCAGGCTATATGTATATTAACATCATGTATGTAATGATTTGCCAGCCAGAGGTCTGGGCCAACTATATTCTACATTATTTTCAAACAACCATTTCCAGCTCTTCACTGGACTTTGCACGATATCTCTACAGGGAATACGGCCCTTGGGACGATGGTTTAAACACCCTGCATTACACCAAACAGGAGGTGGAGCATCGCCCTGCGTACACTTGGATCAAAGTCGGGTTCGATCAAAACGCCATGATGAAGGTAGGAATATTAACATGGAATAGACATATGACCCAGAGGGAGGGGACGACCGAGAAGTTTTTATTCACCTTTCAGTAGTTGCAATTTTCGTGTTGTGCCGTATCAAAAGATTTACGGAGCGGTTTTGTACTTTGATTTTATGGTTAAGTTTCCTGTTTATGGACCTCAGATACTTTAATAAAATGTCTTTAAAATCTCAGAAGACAGGGGCGCAATTTCAGTGGTTGTCATTGGACCTATTTTTCATAGACACGCACCTGGCTTATTTGGCTTCGAGGCTATTTAAAATGTATACCCTCTAAGCCTGTTTGTAGACTCCCAGTCAATTAGTATTTAAACTTTTTTGAACCTTTTTGAATTATGAAAGGATGTCAAACTTATGTTTATTGAGAAACAAATACATGATATAGAGGAAAATACTCTTTAAAAAGAAGATAGGTGAAGGATGCAGAAGCAGTAAAATTATGAGAGAATACCGATCCACAACTAAACGCAGGCAATGGCTTTTTAATATGAAAATATATGTAACGTATAAATACTAGAATAAAGATATTTTCATGGGCATTGCAATAACGATATAATTATGTACGAACATACCTTAATTGATTAGACACTGGTAGGTTGACATCAAAATGGTAATTAAAAATGAATATACGGATGATGATATTTGTGTACAAATAGCTCGATTTTCGGTTTCCAGAAGTTGTGGAAAGGCATAATGGATCCTAATTATGATGAGAAACGTAACCTTACTTGGTGGAATATCAACATGACCCGGGCTATCCAACAGTTTCCCAGGTAAGAAGTGAAGTTGACGGTTCGATTGCCTTTTAAAATTAAAAAAAAAATTGCACTCCCCTCTCTACAGCATTTTACTGTCGTCACTTCTCTCTCTATCCCTCTATCCCACCACCATTTTTATAAGGTTTTGTCTCCCTGATATTGTAAATGAAGCAATAACTAATGTACTTCAAACTATTTCAACCATTTACTACCAACATTTTCCTTATTTCAGAGTCAAAAAGCATTTGCCAGAGGAAGGATCTTGAAAAGAAACCAAGAAAGCGCAACAAAAAAGCTACCAGAAATCAAAGTGGAACATTTTATTTATGACTTCATGAAACTTTTCATAAATTTTACAGTATACAGTAACGTCAGTTTCTATGTGATAAATAAAAATAATATACAAAATCCTCATCTCCCACTTCAAAGAGAAGGCTGTACAAAAGGTTGCAGATGAAGTTCTCCTTCTTAACAACACCGTTCTGCCACTATTGGTAATTATGATTCAACGAGACACTATTGGTATACACGGGTATGACAGGGTATTGAAAGAATTGCGATGTTGCTGCATGAAGAATGGCTATAATCAAGCTGTTGTCGTTAATTACAACATCAGAGAATGGAATCACCACAGGCTCGCTTCCGGCACATCCCGTTAGCGCAAGAGAACCAAAAAGCGACTTTGCAGCTCAGCGATANGTGGACCCTTTACCATGAAATCTTAGTGTACCTGAATCAAATTTTGCCCGGAGTGGACCTTTTTCTGGCTACATGTGTACAGAGTGGTTCGTTAAACCCCCAACAACCCCCCTGACTACGAGCCTGAAGTTAAAGACGCAAGTTCAGGGCACACTTATTTGGTTGAATGCGAACGCAACCCCCCATATTTCGAGTTTGAATACCTGGAGCACACGTTATAGGCTTTTTGCCTGCATGCAGTGCTGAAGGATTGACTAAGAAATCGTACCTCGAAAATTGAGCACAATTATTCGCAATGACAGCATCCAACTGACTTTTCACAAGTCCTATTGTTAAGTGTGTCATCTTTGATCCCAGTATTTCACGTGGCTTTAGTCGTCTTTTTCACCTTAGCACTAAAATGTCGGTGTACTTACCCGTATTACAGAAATTAGAGTTGTTATATAGTTTTCTGTCAGAATCTACGCGGGAGTTTTTGTTCACTTTACGACAGAACAATTTATTCCATATACAGATACTTCACCACTATTGTTACTATTAACAATAACTATACAATGTATTGTTTGTTGCATTCGATCAAGTCTGCCAGCAGCCTTTCTAGTTGGTTAACCTGGATGAGTATCACGGGGTATGGCTCGTTAACTTCTTCGGTTTTCTCCTAACGTAATTTAGCTGAGCTCTTAAAATCATTAAGAAGAATATCGTTCGTTGGGCGACCAATCAGATACAAACTGATTCACAAAAAATAGGCGTATTTTTTCTCTTACTCCCCTGAAAGTGTTTCATTAATTTACTTATTTTGGTTCAGGAAGTATTAGCTACTGCTGCGTCTAGGTCACGGCGGAAGTAAAAAAAAAACTGCCATCAAACAGCAGGCCCGCCAACGACGATTCGTTCTTGCCGAGTCCTAGATCTCATTCAGAAGGTAAAACGGAGGCGTACGCGCAGCCAAAATTGCACCCGTTTCTAAACACTCTACACAAACGACTTTTTCAGACAACATTACCGTAAAATACGCCTATTTGATGAACATAACTTTAAGACTCTAAAATCGTTTCTATGGTGAACTAATATGATAATATCGAGCGTCGAAGACTTAATCAAGGCCTGTCAGTGGCGCCCGCTTGCAATGACGCCCAGGACATGGTTTCCTGCTTGCCGAGCATGGTCCCAGGGTACAGTCATATCAATAGATGCAAAAGCCTACTGTACATCACTCCACCTAGTAAGTAATAAAAATGAAAAAAAATGGATGTGAACAGGCAAGTTAAATATGACTGTACTCTATTTGTACACATACATGTATACAAGTACAGTGTATGTATGTACTTCCGGTTCTGCATGTGGCTTCAAGTCTCACACGAAACGAGAGCCCGAGAGTTGCAAAAGTTACCGAGAGTTACATCAACAAGACTTCAGCGGAGAGTGGGCTTATTTGCAATCACCTTGTCTGTCCTCTTGCTAGTATCTACACATGCCTATTTCCGCACTATACGCAGACCGAACAGACATCTTTCTGCTGTTCTCGCGAAACATGCGCACTAGTTCGTCCCGGAAGCTCTTCCCGCTCACACAATACAATATAAAATTGACAGCGTGGTTCATGTAGTTTAAGATAAGTACTAGTGTAGACCCCAGCTGATGCTCAGACTTATGTTCAAGAGTAAGTTCATGGGTATTCCTTGTGTAATATTCCACGATGAGGTTGACGAAACTCGGAGACGCAAGAAGGAGAAACGCAAATGTAACCACGAGAAGCATGACGGTAGTAGAGCGCGCATGCTCGTTGTGGTGGTCTTTATTTGGGCAGTCTGGATAAGGTGAGGAGGTAGTACCAAGAGACGGTCCTGGTGCGCCATTTTTGTTGAATGATATTTTATCGTCACAGATGCTGTTTTGACTTTGGATGCTGATACTTCTGACTTTCATAGAATTGTGGTAACGCTGTGATTTTCTTATACGCCTTATGATGCAACCGTTCAATATAATCATTATTGTGAACGGCCCAAATGCATACACACAGACGGCTATCCAAGGTACCGCGTTTTCAACGAAGTAAAAATAGGGATCTGTCTCCTGAAAGTGATCACACTTAAGCTGCCCCGTTGCTGGATTGCAGTTCAAATCCACTGTCCAAAGCGTGTGTAGGTTTAAACCAACTGTAAAGAGAATAATAACTAGAAGCGCTATAAGAGCGCGTTTGCGCGTGCACCACGTGGATGCCTTAAACACGTGACACACGGTTATATATCGCCCCACGGTTAACGCCACCAGGATCCAAGCAGACATGTCCAGGAACACGTAAAGAAGAAAGCGATGCAACTTGCAACCGATGCTACTCAAATCCCGTATGTCAGTGTCTGGATTGTATGCCTTGATGGTGTGACGCAGTAAACCTGTCCACAGAACCAACGTGTCCACCACAGCGAGGCTAGACAAGAAGAACCCTGTCCAGGTCTTTCTCATGAAAGGTCGCCGCAGTACCACGATGGAAAGAATGTTCCCTGCTGTACCAAAAACAAGGAAAACTATTGGAATGACCTTCATTAGCAACACCGCGGCCGAACTGTTGTCCACGCTACCCTGCGTTACGTTCGTGGTCAATTCTTGTGAGACCTCACAAGTATCCATTTTAAATAAGAATGTCTTAACTAATGGAATGCAGTGTAATTGCTGTCTTTGCAGCCCATATGCGCATATACCCATATGCTGTTTCAATATCAAACAAGAAGACAGCTGAACGTGAAAAATTAATCATCTTTTCACTTGGTATATTCGCGCGTGTATCCCAGCCTCTGTTATAGATCAAACTGGATTCTTCAGATGAATTATCGAGGAATCGCCCCGGTGGATGATCCAAGAATTTTATCTTCGGAGCCAGCTTTTTCTGCGTCCTCCCACTCGGCCCATGTGGTTCATTCATTGAATCTAAAATGTGGAAAAAAGGCACGTTATCATTTACCGGTACGCTACATAGCATTCTTGGGGAATTTCCATCCCATTGAGACACAAGATAAATGGCAGTTAAGGATGTAAGGAGAGTGCAGGCACCATGGGTAAATCGATCCTATATCTTTATGTATCTAGAGAGTCATGTCTGTTCCTATTTACAGACACTTTTATCGACGAATGATAAAAATACATTTACTTATTCTTAGCGCGACTTCGATCATCTGATATGAATTGCGTACAAGGGGTGCATGTATGAGTAAAACAACCTATCAAACTTCTTGACATGCATCACGCTTGTCAAAATTGTCGCCCTAATTAGCTTTATATGCTCTTTTCTCTCTCTCTCTCTCTCTCTCTCTCTCTCTCCCTCTCTCTCTGTCTCTCCTAGAAAAATACTATATCAGAGTTAGACAAATAGACCCAAGACCTAAATACTTAATATATCGTTTCCGTGACAAGACTGATAGTCCCGTGGCTTCGGGTACACTACGCGCATACCGGCCTGGTCGCAGCTTGCTTATCAAGCAGTTTACGCTGTTAATATTGCGCCACCTCGGGATGAAACATGATCTCATGATTGTCTTCTTGTCTAGTAGTGTAGGTGTATAAGAAAAAAAAACTTATACTCTACTTGGTGTTAAAGGGGGAGGGCAGTTTTGCGATTTAATATAAGAACAGTCCTCAAGTGTGTACATTGGATACACGTACAACGTACCGTGCATATTTATGGTTAGTTGGATGTGCAAATACTGACTCGTTGTAATAGGGATCGGATAAATGTTTTCCGAAGTTATATACAGCACAGCCTAAGTGTTCTATGTATATTTAAAGTACATGGGGAAAGGAGGTGGACATGTTTGCTATTATGATTTTAAAGTGTCAACTTTCAGGGTTGACTCCAAAGCCACTGCCCAAACCCAACAAAACCAAATCTTTGGGTGCCAAAATCTGCCCCTCGGTCTCACTGCATCTACCAGTACTGACGAATGATGTTCGTTGCGTTTTGGTTCAAGGGGTGACATGTTTGCTGAGTTGAGTTGTTATATTTTCAAAATTGTACAGTATCAATATGGGTGGTCAGTTTTAATGAAAAAAATTTGGCGTCAGAAGGTCAACCCTGACAATGCTGGTATTAATTTCATGGTGTATTGATCCCATTTCGTAGGCCTGTGTGAGGCAAAAAATGTATATAGTATAAAATCATTAAAATCACCTATACTGGCACATTACCACCGTGAGAGGCCAAACTAGATGTCCATGCATGACAGTAACGACACGTGTATCAAATGTCACAGGAAACCAAGACTTATTTGCTAAGTCATGATACGGGCGGTAGTGGCTCTTTAAGTTGACAATATTTCTACATTTATTAAGTCTCTCTCTCTCTCTCTCTCTCTCTCTCTCTCTCTCTCTCTCTCTCTCTCTCTCCTTCCTTCCTTCCTTCCTTCCTTCCTTCCTTCCTTCCTCACTTTCTCTCACAGCTAACACAAAACGTTTTGATAACGTTTTAGCCACAACATAAAATCCCTGTGGTAACGTTATTAACACGTTCTATGTGAACTGCGGGTTAGGGTCTCTCTCTCTCCCTCTTCTCTCTCCCCTCCCCCTCTCTCATTCAGATAAAAAGCATACTGCAGTTCCCTACCCAGTAGAACCACATGCTAGTCTACAAACCTAAGACATCCTGACTCTACTGTTTCCTGCAGGACAACAGAGCACCAATACTGTACTTACATTCCACGTACACTACACATGCCGGGCAAAACCTTGCAATCTTTTTCTTTCACATCTTGATATACCTGTACAAAGTCAACTCACCTTTACCTGGCTCGGATAGCGCGGTGATAATAAAACACTGAGTAGACCATGAAGTGCTTAATTTCCGTGATAACCTTAGTTAGGCGATGGGGCACGGTAGGCTGTGTTTATCCGAGATAAAAAACAACATCTCTGGTGCGCAAAGGAAAACTGATTGACGTGCCGTGAAATAACACCAAGGTGTTTCCCGTCGATAGCCTCGTCCACTGTAAGAAGTCGTACAATGTATCATTTACCATGGAACCTTCGACGGAACAGAAGTCATGTGACTACTCAATATCGATATATGTACCACTGCTCAGTTTCACGTAATGCACCGCCTTTCCCTAGTCATGGCACCGACTACCAAAACCCAGTGCGTCTGACAGGCTATCTGATTAGAGGAATTTCGGCACCTACCAGTTTGATTCTCTGGCGTGTGATTCACTTATCAAAGTAGCGCTCGACCCGAGTTATCAGGGCACATTTCGGAGGGGTGGGGTGAGCCCATGCAAAACTTGAATCATATGATGTAAGGCCTCGTTGTTTTGTTTTTCAGTTAATTGGTTTGGGTAATTACAGCTAGATCGAAAGTTCCTTCAGATAAAGATTGACAAGCTCAACAAGAAAATTACTTCCCAGTCTTCTGTTTGTGGAAGGCTCTGCGGTTCTTGTTCTGCCGTCGGCAGGGCAGTCGAAAAATGGCCACAGAAATCAATGCAAATCCCCCAAAATCAAAGCAATAATTGGCTTGAAAGGAGGTTATATATGTTGTAATAACTGTAAACTTATACATAGGATGCAAAAGGATGTTGTTTGCTTATTTGTTTTCTCGTTCCCTTCAAGCTTTGAGCCGCCAGAGAGAAACCTTGCAATTGAAATAAGATAGAGCACAAGTGCTGCAGGCCACGGATCATCCTGTTAGATATTTTAATGGGAGTGATTTTGACTCCCTAATGGGCATGCGGACGGTCTAATTGTATTTTTGATTACTTCGGGAAAATATCGACAGGGCCAGATGAGGGTTATTATGGGGAGAGAGGAAGAGCTAATAAGGATGACGTATTGCTGAATAATCTGTACGGCCTACATTATAGGTGTTAACCATACAAACCGACACAATAAATGGACCTATTTAGCGTACGTTATTAGAAATAAATACTGATGATGAAAAACATGATTTTTTTTTTTTTTTTTTTTTTTTTTTTTTTTTTTTTTTTGCTGTAAAACGCAGCGAATTGCGATTTGGTCATTATTGGCATAAACTAGAAAATATATCTATAACATTAAAAAATCAGCTTAATGTTGCTCTATTTTACTAGGTAGTCAATAAAATGGACATGGCTGTCCTTTGTATGCAATTTATCATTTTTCGGTATCCATATCAATATGAAAACAAAAACAAATAAATAGATTGTGGCAAAGTAATACATTGTAATCTGAATAAATACGGATGTTTGCATAATAATCCCACCTCTTTACAACACTTAATTAATTAATTAATTAATTAATTAATTAATTAATTAATTGACTTATTTATTATTATTATTATTATTATTATTATGTTTTTTTATGACAAAATTCCACAATATTAAAAATATTAGAAATAGAATTATTCTGTTAGAAATGAGCCATTTTTATCAGCATCAATTATATTACCCAGCACTTGATTACCTCCACATTCATAAACATGGTATTTTTGATAACGTTCTTAGAAAGATATAGGAACAATATAGGTTTCACTGATAAGTAAGCCACATGACATTACATGGACCAGATGTGATCTTCCTGGAAGAGATGAACAGATGTTGGTGTAACGAAACTAAGGGTCCGTGTAACAGAGAGTCCGCCTTCCATTTAGTTATAATGGTTAGGGTTAGCCTGACCTAATTGGGTCAAAATCTAGGGCGAGGCTTGCCTGTACAAATGAATGGAAAGCGGACTCTCTATCACGGGGAACTCTCTGTCGCGTAACACCGGTATAAAAGAGGGCACATTGTACAGTATTTTTCCTTTGACTAACTTGAGATCGATTCGGATAATTTCATCTTTATTTTAATTTTTTTTGTTCTCATTTTTCGTGCAGCAAATTCTACTCTTTAACGATTTTGTATCAGATAAGATGTGAAACATACGGTTAGAATACATGTACGTGTACCATGCTCACGGCTGTTTTCGTCTCTAGCAAAACACCGCCACATAGAGTATGGACAGATATGAGTCATCCATTGGTACCAGATCGATACGAATGCTTGCAATCAGTTCACGTACATACCCTGATGATAGCAGGAGAGTGAGGTGAAGTTATATTTAGATGTTTATCATGCACGACATCACGTATATACTTACATACCAGCATTAATTCCTGTGGAAATTTCTTGGTAATATTATACATGGACTGTGTGTCCGTGAAAAATAAAGACGCACAAACACTCCCAAGAAACAATTTCTTTATACGGTTACTGGGAACATTAAAGTGCATATACCGAACAATACCAACGAAATCAATAGTTACCCCATGGTCGCGGAGCTTAATTCAGGGACGCTAGATACCAAGGTTCGATCGTCTCGTGTGGAATAACCCAAGGCATTTGGTTAGGGGTTTGATCCAGCCCCAAAAGCAGGGGATGGTTTGAGGCGTAAAATTTCGACCACAGGCTACGAGTAGGAATCCCAAGCGGGGCTTCTACTGATAACAACCATCTGGCTAATTGTTATCATACCCTATTTACGCATTGATGGACTTAAAGTTAGCTCATGTTATTGAGACTGAAAAAACATAACGAGCACTCCAAGCATTTTTCTCTCCTGCTAAGGGACATTATAACATTTCGTATGTAGAACAGGAAGGGTAGATGAGATCGCCCATTGATTAGAGACGTGTTTTATGTGTGGTATGAGGCCTTGTTATTCAGTGCTAGTACTTACATAGTGGAAAGATGTTTGTAGTTACTAATTACGAATACGTTGAATACCAAGAGTACTGGTACATAGAGAGCTGGTAGGCCTACATAGAGGCCTGACATAGAAGCCACTCTTCTCGTATCTCCCTGCGCCAAAAACAAATTATTTTTGCTTGTTACTCTTAGATATACCGGTACATTTAATAATTGGTTTTTATTTTTCTTTTCATCTGTCTTACGCTTCCTTTACCTTTTTCTTTAAAATGAAGACTAACGTTTGCTTATTAATGAAACAAAAACAGGCTGCCGCCTCAGCGCGTTTCTGAACATCATATTGGGTTACCTTGAATTCATTTTACCCAGACGTTCCGGAGTTCCGAACACAGACGACACTCCAAACAGAATCATCATTGCTTTGGGTGAGATACTAGAGACAAGTATCACAGCTACCACAATCAGAGACAAGGGCTAATGTAATTGTGAAATTTGGCGTTGTTGATGTATAATCATACTAGTCCTTATTATTGGTCAATGATTCACATATCATTGCATTTAGCGGACCTTAATCAATGTGTTAATTTTTTAGTTTCAAGAATACGCTTGTTATCAAGACCACCGTTTTTATCTGTTCATCTGATTGCATTCAACGAGAGTCCACGCGGAGTTATATTGACATACCAAGTACGATAGTTTCATTGTGAACGCGTCCTTAGATCTATACTTATTATTCTTGGTTCTTTCATTACTTATCAGTTGATTCTTAAATTAAAATGATTTTAATTCTTGTTCTTGAGACATCACAATACGTACATTTGGAGACATAAATTTTGCATGCTTGAATATGATTGCAAAATTTTGGTTGTCCCTCGACCGGTTGAATTAAGCCGAGATTTTAATTATCGTGCCCCTGCAGGGACGAAGCGTGGGGAGGCGTGCGAGAGGCGGAGAGACCATAACAGGATTAGCGGTCTTCCTTTCATGTATGTCCGCCATATTTAGGTCGCGGCCTTACTAGCACTCAAAGCCTACCCAACTACCAGACTCGGCACATAAGGATCCTGAATTAACCGGTATATCGGACCACACTACCCGTTTCCAAGGTGTGTGTCAGATCGCATTTCGGAGTATCATACCACAGAACAAATTTTGTAGGACGACCGAGGGCTCATCCTGTCGGTGTTCTGACTGATACTCCGAAATGCGATCTGACACACACCTTGAAAACGGGCAGTGTGGTCCGATATACCGGTTAATTCAGGATCCTTATGTGCCGAGTCTGGTAGTTGGGTAGGCCTGCACTCGGCTCTTCTCAATCTGAATGGTCCCAATAATAGCACTTAGGGAGAATCAAACTTTGGATCGACCCAACTAGAGCGATGGGTTCATCTGAACGCTCCCTCAGGATTATCGTGGTCGGTATACAATAGAATCCTGTTTTCATATTGTTTTTTCTAGAATTTATTTTTACAGAATAGCTAATTATTGCGCTCAGTATAATGGCAGACGGCCCGCAACGTATAAATTGCAAGTTAACGCAAGTAATAAACGTCTGGAATGAATTCAGGTTCAGTTTTGTCATTTCCATAGAGAATTTTCCTCACATTTGGTATATTTCTCCATTGTATTATTCGCTGAACGGCCGGGTGGGAAGTATTAAATACAGTGGTTATAAATCGTGTAGATACTCTGTATTCCATATTATTTTTCTCCATTGGGCTACCTTTCATTAAAATATACATCGGTGGACGGTTAAAAGTCGTTAACAACGAAGCTGAGCCCCATTTGACGGTATTTACCCTCTTGTTCTTGTCAAACCACGTTCGAAAATAATCTCGGGGTATGGTAAAATTGCTGGAATCAGTGTAGTCTCCCTTTAACTTGTTGTGCCAGTGTAATCTTGGATTCTTCATGTGTACATCGTGGGTGAATATACGATATGAATTATAAAACGCCGCAGATGTGTGCATAATAAACCATTGGGCGAACCACCAGGGGCCGGTTTCACAAAGCAGTAGTTAGTTAGAACAACTAACTACTGAACTACCTAGCTAACGAGGAAACTTAGCGATTTTCGAGGGGTGTTTCACGAAGCAGTCGTTAACTCATCGCTAAGTTCAGTCGTAAAGTTCGGTCGTTAGTTCTCTCGTTACTCACCGTAGTCTCGAAACCGTCTGCCGGAAGTGGAACTCTTGCGTAAAAGTGTCACGAAAGCACAAACTCTCCATTTTTTGGTGGCTTGAAATGCATAAGAACGTCTGCTTTGAGGTCGTCGTAAAGGATCTCCACCACCTTTTTGCCGCTCTTTTTGTCACAGCTAGGCGCAACCTCTCGTAAATTGCATCATCGTGTGTATATATTCTAATAGATTCTGCCTTTCATGAAAACGTCGTAGTCTACGTTGCCGTCTGGCGGTACGGATAGCAAGAAAAGTAGCCGCCATATTGGATACAAAGACAAACGACAGACAACGGTAACTAAGCAACCTTTTTATTTCACTCATTACGCATGCGTACGATGAAACTCTAGAGTTAGCGACTGGTCTGACCAGTCGTTAAATATCCAAGGCAACAACGAGACAATAACGAGCGAGAGAACTAGCGACTGCTTCGTGAAACGGCACTCTAACTAGCGAGAGGCTAACTACCGATCGCTAACTAACTACTGCTTTGTGAAACCGGCCCCAGGACACGTGATCTAAATACGTTATGTACGGGAGCAGGAAAGAAAGCGTGTGACGATGAAACGCATTGATAATTGCATCAAAGTTGTAAGATAAACCCACTGTGCTATTAGGCCCAGTGTGAAAAGTTATTGGTCTAGGGTATCCCACTGCCGGTTCATAATCAAGCAGAAATTCTTCAAAACGATCATAAGGGTTTTCAGGTAAATCTGTTCGCCAACTTCTGTTAGCAAGGTTAACGGACACGAGCTCCACATCATCGTCGAGAAATACGTAGTACAAATAGCCTCCATCTTTTCTCTCGGCCGCATGGTCGATTGCTTCTATCAGTAGTCGGTTCCGACCCTCGCCGTGAGTACTGTTGGGGAAGTAGATATCGCCTGTTCTGTCTCTGAACGTCAACCAGATTATTTCCCGATTGGGTGTAGCATTGAGTCCTTGTATAGCATGCACTGACGCACCTTGGATAAGGTAGACAAATTGGGGGGAATTTTCATCATTTTGAATAAATTTCGTGTTCATCGGGTCTAATGTTGACTTTTCGCATTCACACGTGTTTGCCGCACTTTGCTTGAAGGGTCCTCGCAGCTGAGTCAAGGACAATGATAACAGTAGACACCCAAACACGAAAATCAGATACAGTACGTAAATGTTCTTCATTGCCCTTGTTATGGAAGTGTGCCTACAAAGGAATTTACACTCATTACTTCTCATAAACACATTTAATTAAGGATGTTTTTTAACAAACTGCTAAAGTATTGAGGAATTGAAAAGTATTTGCAAAGGCAGAAACAAGAATTGCGTGAGGCGTATTCATTAAAAATTACGAAGTAATTATTGTAATAGGGCCGTACAATGAAATAAATATTTTTTTAAATAAAAAAAGCTCTTGCGTGTTGCTGTAGATATGTTTCTCTTGCCCCTCAGCTGTTGTCTTACCGTATCATTAGAGTACAAGGTATCTAAGAGAGTGCCCCGTTTTATCCATCCATATGGATAACAAACAGAGACTTTAGAGGGTTAGTAAAAGGGCGTACAGGGCGTAATTTTGGTTAACTCCGGCAATATACCGGTATCAATGCTTTAATTGATAATGGGAGTATTTTTACAGTGGGTGAGATTTGTAATTGTTAACAGAATTGCAGAGGGATTCAGTTGAATTGCCGAAAATAGGGGCACATGTAGGGCAACGACATCATTCACAGAATGGTTACTTTTCTAGAAAAATCTTTAAATTTGACCTGAATTGACCTTTGGATCCATTTTTACACATACATCATTCAATTTCAAATCATTGAAATATAGACAGAATTTACCCAACATACCCTAAAGAAACATTTTCTGGGTTCAAATTGTCTGAAAGAATATAATATATTGGTTTATTTACATGAAAATGCCCCAAATTTGATCTCATTCGACATATAATCCCTTTTTACCTAGACGCAATTTAATACTACACGTTTTTATTGTTTTAATAATTTTATTGTTTTAAGAATATTAAAATATGATTAGAGCTCTAATTGGGCAACACAATGATATAACAATGTTATATCTTACTTAGGTCCCATTCAATTAATAGTTTCCTTTTCCCATTTTTCGCCAATTGAACTTACAATGTAACTCCCTCTTGAGCACAGCAGTTGTAGGCCCTATCTATCATTTATGCCACAAACTGTAAAAAAAAGCTGTCAAATCTGCATTAAATAGTGTAATAAAAAGAAATTATTTATCAAAATTATCAAAAAATTATATTGTTGGCTCATTCATTCTCTGAATAAGTAAAACTTTTTGGGCTTGATTTCATAAAAGTGCTTCAAATTTGACCTCAATGACATTTGACCCTATTTTAATTTGACATCATTTGTTGATGTATATATAGATTTTATTTAAGTTGCCCAGACTACTGTATGTTCAGAGCAGCACGTTTATATAAACCATAGTCTTCCTATGATTCCTTTATGTGAATCATGTCCTTTTGCTAGCCCAATATTTTTCGGCAATTGAACCAAACCCTTCTGAAGTAGCCTACTTGTCCTAATATCATGGATCTCACCCACTGTAAAACAAATTCCAAAAATAAATAAATAAATAAATAAATAAAATTGAATAATTGTTATACTCAGAGTCTCTGACCCCGCATTATGGAACGACCCCGGATTATGGAACAAAACCGGAAGTTTGCCCTTTTTACCCAGCATGCAGAGCGTAAGCAATTCCTGTTACCACGTAAGTTTCAAGCGTCTGCTACAATGTATCAAACGCGCTATACAGACGCACGCTATGACCTGATACAACTGGGGTGTTAACATTTGAATGTTGGTTGCTCCCAAATTTAATAAAAATATTAATGAAGTTACGTTTATTCAAGCAGCTTTTAAAGTCGTTTACCGTCCGCTCTCGTCTGCATATGTTACTGTCAGAAACCGATCTCGAAAAAAAGACGATTTCTAACATTTCATACCGGTTACGGGTAGATTATAGATACATCGTTCGCTGTGGACGTAAACACGTCCCTCTTTTACTACTATAAGCATTGTAATTTATATAGTCCTTACACTGTTTGTGTTTCTTGTTCGGCGAATTGAAATCTGTTTCAAAGCATCCACTTTCAAGAGTAACAAGTTGAAGTATTCCAACGGCAAGATCTCATACAAATGGCTTGAATGTTCGGCAACGCTGTGGGTGCTTTCTGTGCACTGTAAGCTGCCGCTAGAGAACGCTACGGGCGCTTTTAGACTCACGTGCCTTAAATACACTTGTGCTCACAAAATAACACTCCATGTTGACTTTTTATAATCGGAATTTATGAGAGAAAAAATTATTAGGCCTACTGATCTTGTTCATACACAATAAATTTCAGCATGCCGAAGAGAAAATTATACAAATGCATGCTGCCGTAAGGGATGACTTGTTTTCAATATCAGAGGTGGCACGTAGGCCTACCGGTATATTTGAAGTGCCAAAGACAACCATTTTTAATCATATTTCAGGTATACAAAGTTCGGGAATATATCGACAGGGCCAGATGAGGGTTATTATGGGGAGAGATGAAGAGCTAATAAGGATGACGTATTGCTGAATAATCTGTGCGGCCTACATTATAGGTGGTTAGCATACAAACCGACACAATAAATGGACCTATTTAGCGTACGTTATTAGGAATAAGTAAGCCTACTGATGATGGAAGACATGAGTTTTTGTTGTAAAACGCAGCGAATGGCGATTTGGTCACAATCGGCATAAACTAGAATATATATCTGTCTATCACATTAAAAAATCAGCTTTTTTCGCTTAGTACTTTTACATATACATTTAATAATTGGTTATAATTTTTTTCATCTGTCATCTGGATGCCTACACTTCCTTTATCTTTCTTTAAAATGGAGACTAACATTTGCTAATTAATAAAACAAAAACAGGCTGCCGCCTCGACGCGTTTAGCACTCAGTCGGCTATTCTGAACATCATATTGAGTTACCGTGGATTCGTTTTAACCAGAGGTTTCGGAGTTCCGAACACAGAAGACATTCCAAACAGAATCATCATTGCTTTGGGTGAGATCCTAGATACAAATATCACAGCTACCACAATCAGAGACAAAAGCTAATGTAATTGTCAAATTTGACGTTGTCGATGTAGGCCTACATTTATGTACAATGCTAAATGCAACAATGGCGTCGACTCGATTCACAATTTCTCACATGCACTGCTAAGTATATCTACCACGACATCTGTTACTACTAGTTTTACAATTAATGACAAACGTGATAGTAATAGGAGATTTTCTTGAAAAAGAATAACACATTTGAAATATTTCGGTTTCAAATGTTTAAGCAGGGAAATATGTTGAATGATTTTTATCGTAACATTCAATTTTTGTTCAGATGCACTTTGAATGTGTGCAATAAAAATAACTCGTTTTCTTTTGTAACATGCTTCTGCTCGACATTCTTGTCCGATACGACTTTTACTGTTGCAAATAACGCCAGATTATAAACACGCCAGTCTCTCTTATAAAAAACTACAATAAAAGTACAACGAGGGCATCAGTATTTGTCACATATTTATTGAGGTTTACAAATAACGTGTGTAATAATGTATCTAACGGCAGGTGAAAGTCACTTTAATAATAAAAAAATGTGGTTGAAAAAAACTAGACCCTTTTCACATTGGGTGTCAACTAAAGCGATACAGCTGATGTGACAGTACAAAATGTATTCTAGGAATGGAAGCCCGTGGTACCAAATAATAAGTATTCAACAGCTTTAGACCGCTATTGAATTAGATGATTACCCCTAGCAACGCGAGGAGGCGTGTCAGACATTAAAGCAGATTACAATGATAGCACTTATAGGGAGAATCTCCCCCAGAGTTGGATCGATTCAACTAGAGCGATGGGTTCATCTGAACGCTCCCTTAAGATTATCGTGGTCGGTATACAATAGAATCCTGTTTTTATATTGGTTTTTCTAGAATTAATATTTCCAGAATAGCTAGTTATTGCGCTCAGTATTAAAGGCAGACGACCCGCAACGTATATAATCCAAGTTAACGCAAGTAATAAACGTCTGGAATGAATTCAGGTTCAGTCTTGTCATTTCCATAGAGAATTTTCCTTACATTGGTATATTTCTCCATTGTATTATTCGCTGAACAGACGGGTGGGAAGTATTAAATACAGTGGTTATAAATCGTGTAGACACTCTGTATTCCATATTATTTTTCTCCATTGGCCTACCTTTCATTAAAAGATACATCGGTGGACGGTTAAAAGTCGTTAACAACGAAGCTGAGCCCCATTTGACGGTATTTACCCTCTTGTTCTTGTCAAACCACGTTCGATAATAATCTCGCGGAATGGAAAAATTGCTGGAATCGGTGTAGGCTCCCTTTAACTTGTTGTGCCAGTGTAATCTTGGATTCTTCATGTGTACAACGTGGGTGAATATACGATATGAATTATAAAACGCCGCAGATGTGTGCATAATAAACCATTGGGCGAACCACCAGGACACGTGATCTAAATCCGTTATGTACGGGAGCAAGAAAGAAAGCGTGTGACGATGAAACGCATTGATAATTGCATCAAAGTTGTAAGATAATCCCACTGTGCTATTAGGCCCAGTGTGAAAAGTTATTGGTCTAGGGTATCCCACTGCCGGTTCATAATCAAGCAGAAATTCTTCAAAGCGATCATAAGGGTTTTCAGGTAAATCTGTTCGCCAACTTATGTTCGCAAAGTTAACGGACACGAGCTCCACATCATCGTCGAGAAATACGTAGTACAAATAGCCTCCATCTTTTCTCTCAGCCGCACGGTCGATCGCTTCTGTCAGCAGCCGGTTCCGACCCTCGCCGTGAGTACTATTGGGGAAGTAGATATCCCCTGTTCTGTCTCTGAAGGTCAACCAGATTATTTCCCGATTAGGTGTAGCATTGAGTCCTTGTATAGCATGCATTGACGCACCTTGGATAAGGTAGACAAATTGGGGGGAATTTTCATCATTTGGAGTAAATTTCGTGTCCATCGGGTCTAATGTTGACTTTCCACATTCACACGTGTTTGCTGCACTTTGCTTGAAGGGTCCTCGCAGATGTGTCAAGGACAATGATAACAGTAGACATCCAAACACGAAAATCAGATACAGTACGTAAATGTTCTTCATTGCCCTTGTTATGGAAATGTGCCTGCAAAGAAATATACACTCATTACTAAAAAAACTCATAATGAAGGGTGTTTTTGTATTAGGGAATTGATAACTATTTGCAAAGGCAGAAACAAGAGTAACATCAATATTAGAAATAGACCAAGAATGAAGCTATTATGTGTGGCGTATTCATTAAAAAAAAATACGAACTTATTATTGTAATAGGGCCGTACAATGAAATAGATAATTGTTTAATAAAAAAAAGCTCTTGCATGTTGCTCTTGTTCTAGTATTTCTTATGCAATATCGTGTGGATTAATCTGATTATACTACGAGAATCCCTCTCAGAGTTAGACGGACCCAGTTACATGTAGTACGATGTGTGAACCTGAATGCGATCTTGAATGAAAGAGGCACAGAAAGGTTAAACCATTTCTGGGTGGTTTGATCTACTGTTACAGTTGATCCATCCTCCATTTTTTTTGACCGTCTTCCGACAGAAAAAATTAGATACCCGTCAATGTAAACTTGAAAATCTGACCGTCTTCCGGAAGACCCAGAAGACGGCCTAAATCCGCCCCTGACTACATGTACCTTAAGAAACCTGCCCATCAGTTTGTGTACTACATATACCGTATCATTAGAGTACAGTGTATTTAAGAGAGGTCCCCATTGTATTGGTCCATATGAATAACAAACAGAGACTAAGACTCCGTTCACATGGAAAGTCTATTTTCTAAAAATCTATTTTCTATTCGCGGTATCTTGTAATCATGGTCCCTGTGCCCTGAATATCCCGAGAATTAATTACAGCTTTGGAAGTAACTGGCTCGCGCCGCCAGTAATTACGCCGCGGGATATTCAGGGCACAGGGACCGTGATTACAAGATACCGCGAATAGAAAATAGATTTTTAGAAAATAGACTTTCCATGTGAACGAAGCCTTAGAGGGTTAGCCAAAGGGCGTGCAGTTCTTATGAATCCATAAAGAAAACAAACAAAGGAAAGACTTATTGAAAGGACAGTAATGATAACAATCCAAGACTTAAAGGGGTTTTGAAGAAATGTACACACATGTTCTTCTTTGTGGTACGTGCATGTACATGTAGACCTACATGTACCAGTACCTTGTGTCGATGGGGCAGTTAAACTCTTTTCAAGTCGGGGCTGGTGAGAAGACAGAGTCTTTATATGTAGGCCCGAAAAATCATACCCCCCCCCCCCCCCCCCCACACACACACACACACATGCAAACCTCTGCTACTTATAAACTCACGGGTCGCATCTGCGCAATACAGCACAAAACACATAGAAAAAAAATATATACTTCGGACGCGAGTCAACACAGGTTGTTTGCAAGAAAAAAGGGTGAAATAATAGAAAGATAACGGAACCATATGATTTCTTAATCTTTGTTGTCTTACTCTTTATTTAATGTGTCCCCAGAGAGGACAAATGTCCCCGCGAGGGTTCATTTGAATGTTATGTTACACCCTGTGGCTTAAAAAAAAGGAAAGGGGAAGGGATTCTTTCATAATTTGCAATTTTGGTAGATGTAAAAAAGTACCTTATTGTGTATCTGAAGTGTTACTCTAAACTTAAAGTTACATGTGCGTAGCATTGAATCAAGTCTTACTGTAGTAAAATTGGGTCAAATGCGGTCAAATGTGTAGCATTTTCAGGAAAATAAACCAATCAAGTTTATCTGTTCGGATAATTTGAGCTAAGAATGTTTCTTTAGGATTTCTTTGGTAAAGTCCGGTAATATATCAATGATTTAATGGATAATGGGAGTATTTTTACAGTGGGTGAGATTTATAATTTGTAACAGAATTGCAGGGGGATTCAGTTCAATTAACGAAAATTGGGACACTTGTAGACCTCATTCACAGAATGGTTAATTTTCTAGAAAAGGCTTCAAATTTTACCTCATTTGACATTTGGCTCCATTTTTACACATGCATCATTCAATTTTAAATCATTGAAATGTAGACAGGATTTACTCAACATACCCTAAAGAAACATGTTCTAGGCTCAAATTCTCTGAAGGAATAAAACACATTTGGTTTATTTTCATGAAAATGCCCAACAATTGAGCTCATTCGACATATAATCCCTTTTTACCTAGACACAGTTTAATGTTACATGATTTTATTATCAATATGATTAGAGTTCGCATTCAGCAACACAATGATATATCAGTGTTATATCTTACTTAAATCCCATACTACATGTATATTAATGATGTCCTTCTCCCATTTTTGTAAATTAAATTTAACTCCCCCTTTAGCGCAGTACTTGTACAAGTTTGTATTAACTACTTATGTCAGAAACTGTAAAATTAGCTGCCAAAACTCCATTAAGCATGTTTAATAAAAAAATAAATTATTTATCAAAATTATCCAAAAATTATATTCTTGACTCATTCACTGAATAAATAAAACTTTATGGGTTCGTATTCATGAAAATGCTTCAAATTTGACCTCACTTACATTTGACCCCATTTAAATTTGACAACATTTATTGATACATATTAAATTTTTATCACAGTAAGATAATTAGAGCAACACATCAGCTACATAAAGATATATAATATAAACCATAGTAACATGTTTGTCTTACTACGATTCCTTTGAATCCTTGTTATATACATGTAGATAGACTTTACCCCAGAGAAACATATTCTAATCTCTATTAAATAGATCAACTTTATTGGTTTATTTAGATGAAAATTCTTCAAAATTAACCTTGTTTGACTTTGACACCATTATACTAAGACTTGATTCGCTGTTACGTAACTTTCATTACGCTGTATGTGTTTTGTAACTCTTCAGTTACACAATGGTGTACACTGTATAAATCGTTGCTTCGTCTTATTTAAATTACACATTTCCTTCCCCTTTCCCCATCTTTTAAAATGCGCCCTTTTAAGCCACAGGGTGTTACATAACATTCAAATGAACCTCAATGGGACATTTTCCCCCTCCTGGAACACCTCTCATATTTACACATCATCAAAGATTAAGAAAATAAATGTCCCAGTGAGTTGTCATGAGATTGCACGTGGATCCCTTGTTCCCACCAGACTCTAATTGATGTCGTTGACCCAACTTTTCAATCGTTACGTTATGAATTTTCGGGTTGGACGCCATATTGGAAACTCAAGAAGAGCCACAGCTGCCAGTGACAGTGGAATGCGGAGATGTGTCTAGATATGGCATAAGAACTAAATTATACGCATATGCTACACATAGTCATAGAGAAATGACCCACAGTGCGAGTTTTCCTGGCCTGTTCTCGACACTGACCTGGATAGAAGTACTGGTAAGGCGAACCCGGGACCCTCTGTCAGTTGCTAGGTGTCCGCTAGTTTATTTTATTTTAGTTCATTTCTGTTTTATTTTGCTTTTTCCAGTGCCACTTGTGTTAGCCACATGTAACTTGACACTATTTTTTGGGTCTCTCGGAATTTAATAAATAAATTAAAACACGAAAGATTACATATCCGGTACACTGGTAAGTCAACTCTGCTAACCTCCTTTAAAGCAAAGGTAAAATAGATCGTTGACTGGATAAAAGTTAACATCGGAAATAGGAATACGAATACATGTAGTACTAATACAAAGTTATCTTTTCTCAGGCATCCGTGATTGAAATTATCGTGAAATTCATATGTATAAACCCAATCCGCGGTTTAAGAACCTCTAGTTCTCTGCGTGTACCCAATAAATTGCATTAATTTTTAACCACACCACACCTCTTCAAGTGCCTTCATACATACATTTATAAATATATATTTTTTTCACTTTTATTTTAAACGCACTTACCTAGATGGAAAATCAGATTTTCCTAAAGAGCTGCCCTTGTATATATACGTTAAATCTGCGAGTAGTGAGGATACAGAGAAATATGTGTCGATCACCTTTATTGATTACTCAGGTCGTGACGTAGTGTGTTTAACAAAGTTATTTGAAAAGAGATTATGCCGGAGCTATTCAGGAAAGGGCTATTGTTTGGCCGTCGCCTATTCACCAAGGCCTCTGCGCCACAGCGCACAAACTGGACATGTACCGGTTTCAACCTCTTGCAGACCCGATTATATAACCGGTAACTGCCTATAACCTTTTCATTTCACTGATTCATATTGAACAGGGAATTATATCGTCGGCTGTGATATAATTCCCTGTATTAAACAAGTATATAGACTTAGGTAGTATTAATAAATCCTACGCCGAAGATGAAATCTTTAAATGATGGGGAAATAGTCGAACATGACCTGGCAATCAACGTGTACATGTAGGCCTAGTAGAACATGCCAGGGTTAAGAACATACTATATTCTGCAGAATATTAAAGAACATCTCTTGTAAAAGCAAAAAAGATATTATGTATAAATAGAAAAAATTCGGAAATAAAGAAATAGGTCCTGCCGTTGCGTGAAATTCTGAACACACCTGATGTCAGGTGGATCAGCTTGTCCACTCGCATAGCAACATGAAAAAAAAAAAACATCATGGACCTCAAAGTTTTCCCGACTTTACCCAAGTATTTTAAGTTACAAGGGGACGTGCCAGACAATTAAGCTGATTACATTGACTGCACCTTAAACCCCCTTTACACTGGACGGTGATCGCTAAGGTCGCAAAAAGAACGTTCAAGCATCGCCGAGGACGCCATGGACGCCGCGAAGTTTTAAGCATGTTTAAAACAATCGCAGAGAGAACGCGATGGAGGATGGTCGCTCAATGGACGCAGAAAGGACGCACAAGCATCGCCGTGGTCGCAGAGAGGACGCACAAGCATCGCCGCGGTCGTAGAAAGGAGGCACAAGCATCGCTTTGGTTGCAGAATGAAAACTCAAAGATCGTCCAGTGTTCGGCACGTAGAACATATTTTTTTTCACTCTCAAACGGGGCCGTGCTGAGGTATTTTTCACCAGACAGGAATTCTAAGGGCAACAGTGGTCTCATATCAGCCTCCGATTGTTTTTTCCCCTAAAATTCATGAAAAGATCCATTTTTAGGTTATTATAAAACGAATATTTTGCCTTTTTTTACAAGATGAATTAATTGTCAGAACTTTTTGCAGAATGCGTCATTTGAAAACGGATTCAAATATTCTATGATGTGTNGTTCAGTGTAAAGGGGGTTTTAGAGATCGTGCGTCCTCGGAGTTCTTGTCAGACGTAGCGTTGTCGCAGGATGAAAATTAAATCGCAGCGGACGAAGTAGTAAGTACTTTATGAGTAGGTGTGTCGTGCTCTAAACGTGGGGCCCGCAAGTGGTCTGTACGCCTTTTTTTGGAAGTAGGAAGAAGTAAGGAGCACGTACGGTCTGTACTTGTGTCGCACACAGTGAGTGAGATAACCTTACGTGTATTGCAAGTGAAGCGTACGTTTTCAGAAATGGTACTTACGAAGTAAGAGAAACGTAATAAGCACGGAAGTGGAACGCACGGATAATCAAAATAATATAAAAGGGAGCACCGAGTCTCTATATCATTCACTGTTTTGGCTTCCAAAATGGCACTTCCAAGAAGGATGCGCCATCGACTTCTACAGCTGCTAATGCTAAAGGAGGCCGAAGATCGTGACACAATGCTTGCAGTGGTTGCTCGGGATCGCCTGCACTTTTATCGTGCTCGGCACGTGCGTCGTCTTAGTGTGACGCACTTCACAAGTATGGTAGTAGTACTGGCCACGCACTTTGGAAGTAAGATAAACGCACGGAGGAAATGCGCTCACTCCCCTTTTTGTTAACACGTACATTGAAAGCAAGCTGAACGTACGAGTCTCTTGCGTGGTAAGTACGTCTTCGTGGTAAAATACCCCGGAATTTCTGCATGCTTTTCCTGCGTTACACGCACGCCTAGTGCACTTACTCAGTGCTTTGGTCTTGCGTGCTACCAGCGTGCTCCAGGCGTTATAGTTGTCGCAGACAGGTCGTAGCGAAAAACTGGCCGGCCAGTTTTCGCGCTGCGTGCTTTGCGTCGTGTTTGCGTCCACCAAAAAAAGTACGTTCGACGTGCGTGTATCTTACTACTTGGCCAATTTTTTGCACGCAAACCGCTCGTAGAAGCACGCACGACCGGTTGTAAGAGTAGCTTAAGCAAGAACCCCGCTATGATAGATAGATCCTGCTGGTATGATAACTTCTATCGAGAACACAGTCCAACCTAGAAACCCGGTCAATGGTATCAACTGACATGTCCTCGATAAGGCATGGCGATAATAAACTCGCAGAATCGTGAAATTGCCAAAATCGATAAACGATACCCGTATTTATTGTCCGAAATAGCTCGGTTATGCCAATTATCAGTTTATAGGATGTTTACGAATATCCTTTAAGTATTGGAGGATAGGAGTCGTGAGCCGGCCGCGCCAGAATTTTTAAATTGTTATCATACTATGCCTATATATACATATATATACATATATATCTGTGCATTCCTTTACGGTAAACTGATAATAATAATAGCATAAGGTGGGTTGTATGTGAAACGCCATTCTTATTCATATTTAATTGACAGTTATTAATTTGTTGTATAATAAATGATGCTTACCCATTCTCGGTTCTGGTGTCAAGGGGTTGGGTGGTGGGAGGCGTTTTCGTACTTACCAACAAGGTTCTCTTTTACCTGTCGTCTTCGCTGGTCGTAGCTTCGACTGGACACTGATCAGTAGTCGGTTCATATGTTCACGTGGCCGTATCGCGAAAAATTAGTGGACCATAGATGACCCCTAGGGTCATATGGGCTCCGTTATTTAATTAGCTATCCCCGCAATTGTATAACATGCTCTACTAGCACTTGTGCGTACGTGATTAAGGTCTACTAGCAACCGCGTATGCGCGGCCACCACGGATCCTCCTTTCCTCCCAATAAATTTATTATTTTTAAAATAATATAACTAAATTATGAAACAAAAATGTGAACCAACATGACAGACTTTTTCAATTTTCTTCACGTGAACTTTCCTAACTTAAACTATTTATTCTAAGAAGCTTTTTTTGTGAATACGGTAATATTGCAATAACGAGGGTGCAGACATGAGTCGATATTTCACTTACTGAAGACGCATCTTTGACCTATGTCTGACTCTCATAGAAATTTAACCGTCTTTTCAAAGAGGACTTTTCTGCAGCTCTTGCTTATTTGCAGAGTGACTTGCGCCAGGACGTGTATAAAGTGCTCTCAAAAAATCACAGGTGTCTCAAGGGAGACAGAAAGGAGTGCTAAGTATCGCTGTGTTTGCTCAATGGTTGGCCAGGGGCTGGCATATAGTAGATACAATCGTTCCGGTTAATCTGGACGATACTACTGTTTTCATTGCCCCTTCCCCCCAATTTGAACTTCGCTTGACCGAGCATCAGTGTTCATTGAAATATGATGATGGGGACCCCAGTGTCCCTACCGCGACCTTTAAGCTACGATAATGGCTTCTGCTCCCGTTAATTAGCTATCCCCGCAATTGCTCCCGTTAAATGTAATTTTTAAACATAAAATTATATTAAAAAGACCTCACCATCCCTTAGTCAAAAATGCACACCGACCTAATAGAGATTTTTGTAATAATTTTTTTTTTGGTAAAATTACTACGGAGTTATCCATTTTATCATCATTTGCTCAAGTCTATAAATCGTATGTTGGTTTGTGTGTGAGTGTTCGGGTGTGTGTGTGTGGGGGGGGGGGTTAATATTCTCTTTTGACAAATAATAAAAATGATTATGCAAATTGCTGTCAAACGTCATCATTTTTAGCTTTGAACTCTCTGAAGTACATGTATACGTAGACTTGTGCAGATGATGGATGATCCCTAAATCACGACGTGATGAATTTTGTCACCATGAATGTTGTTGGCTGTAACCTAAAGCAGACAAAAATAAAATATCTCTTTTATATCAGATCATCTCTTCCTTTTTTTTATTTTTCCATTATTCTATAGGAAGATAGTACACACAACTGTATGGGGCCATTTACATTTAAGAAAGTTTATAACATTAAGATTAATGATGGCTACAAGGAATTCGAATTTTAAGGATGGGGGAGAGGGGGCAGACTCGTTTCACTTAGCTTGTTGAAGTGCACTTTAAAAAAAGCAAAAAAAAAAAAAAAACTTCACGAATATCTCGTGTTAGTGTTTGAGTTTGTTTGAGTTAGGGTTTAAAGTGTAAAAACAGACTTATGTCCTACTGTAAAGGACTGTGGTAGTCTTCAATGACAAAACGCATTATGTGTAACAACAAGTATTTTATTCAACGAATGAAGTGTTAATAAACCCTCATGGTTTCACATCACTGGGACCGTTATCCCCAAAATAAAATACATTCTGTGTGTCGACACGTCTTTGTGTACAATTGGTAAAATTTCACACCCATAGTTGTCAATCATTTGCGACGGTTTCGTGAAACGTGTGTCGTGCCAAAAAATGTACGTTGTCAAAACGGGTGCATCTAAGATGCATATTCTACTGAAAACTGCTAAATTATATTATATTTAGTTCAAAATATAATGTATGTATACAGTACATAATGTATATGAGCGACCGTGTATTTAGCAAGGATAACATTAGAATCATTCTCATTCCACCGTATCATTTTACTGTCCCATGGTGGTTATATCCAAATTCATTTATATTATCAAGATATGTTTTTGAATAAAACTCTGCTGAACGGACTCAAATTTCGTTGCATTTTATTCTTGATCATTGCAAGTACGTACATGTTTTGGCATTTACGACACATCTTGTTTTTTTGTCACAGCAAAACGCAATAAGCGTACATTGTAAGCATTACAAAAATATTCTGGCTATGAATCTGAAATCGCTAAATGGTTTACGTAGCTTTATACTTATGGTTTATTAAGGTCTAATATTCCTCACACAAAAAGTACACTATTGCTCAAAATGGTTGTCACAACCTCGAAAATTTGAATCTTTAACAATGTTATAGGTTTTTGAAGCTATAACATTGTTGATATTTTTGCTTCTTTTTTCGTTGCAGTAATCAGTGACCATTGAAATTGTCTAGGTCAAATATGCGTGCATGTCAACGGATGACAGTTCCAAATAAAGTTACGAGTGTTGGGGATATGCAAATAGAAACTGTAACATGTGGCTTGGCTACTATAAAAGTAGTCTGTCAAATAGATGAGACCTGACCTGCAATAAACCCTAGCTGGTCTTTCATTTGCATATTTAGCGATTAAAGACATGTATCTGCAATGATACAGCTGTGCATAAAAGAAAATTTGAAGTTTGTAACGAAAGACATGTATTTTATTAAGGGTGAGAACCCTTCTGAACAACAGTTTACCCCCGGTACTTCTTAAAACGCCAGCCAGTTGCCATATTTGAGGTAGATTTGAGATGAATTCAAATGACAACTCTTCTTCCTGTTTTTGAATGCTGAAATAATTACACTTTTTGAAATGATCTTTTACGCGCGCAATAGTTCTGCCATCAAATAATTGCACCAATTAACAAAAACAAATTAAGCCCGAGCAATATCGCTTCTCAACTTGAAAGGAAGTGTACCTACATACACTAGTACATGCAATATAAAGGTACACCGTAGCTAGTGCTAGTGCTATACTGGTGGGTAAAAATCAGCTACATGTACTGAACTTGATACTTCTGCTTTAATAAGAGGAAAGAAAGAGGTGCTCCATCTTGTGGCCTCATTTTTTATAAGAATATAATATTATTATCTCTCCCAGAGGCCAGCTGGGTGATGACGTCATTTCCGGGTAAATAATCTGTATTGACACAATACAGAAACGTGCACAGAATTAGACAGAAAAATATATGTGAATATCTAGTGAAAAACATATCTGTGGCCCTGCACCTATCCGTGTAATTTCAATCGATGTGAACCACACTACGACATGTGCTGTCTAATAAATGTACTGTATATACATGTACTGATAGGGTGCAGGTGCTACTGAGCAGATTAAAGACTTGAACAATCAGTAAATCGACATGCAACCGAAATGCCCTTGTGTGTAAGCGTTCTACCAAAAGATGTAAAATAAACTCAACAATTCATGGCGAAACCGCCATAAATCATATTGTCAGTTTTTGAATATACACGGAATATTGTTGCTTGTAAATGTAATATGAAGTACAAAGTTTGAACAGAATGGGGTTTCGAATTCCCAAATAAATGACCCATCATGACAAAATTAATGGGGATAAGTCGTGTGAATCTTAACATTGATTGTGCTTAATACAAAATAATAATAATAATAATAATAAATAAATAAATAACGTGGAGATCTGTGGCACGATTCTAGCCAGTCGTTTCATTGTATCGTCAGCTGCAACGAATATAAAATATAAAACCATTTGTAAAATACAGTTGTATTTTTCAACTGCTAGGGGGCGACTCATGCATTTGCCAGGATTTTATCCATGCAGAAACCGATCTTTTACATTTCATACTAAGGTCCCTTTGTCGCCTGAGCTGCTTCTGAAACATGGTCTTCGTGAATCAGTCGTTTTGGCACAGATTATGGTCGAGCCCTTCAAGGTACAAGAAATCTTCCCGGACAATTCTTTACTAAATTTCAGTTTATTAAACCTGGATACGTCGGAATGTTTATTGTCGATGTAACACCGTCTGCAAAATATGAGCATAAAATTGAGCCTGAATATTTTGTTAAAGGTACAGTAGAGGAGAAAATTGATGGCGCTGTTCACTGCGAGTAAAGTGTCTGTATACTCCCGGATGCCGCGCACAACGAAACTGGCCTCGTTGTAGCCAAAGCCAAAGAACGTGGACAGGATTGCATCAGGTGTGACACAGATGAGAAATACGAACACAATGCACACCAGCATCACCGTAATACGCTTCCTTGCAGGCACTTTACGGTTGGCGCGCGAGCGGCGCAGCACTTGGATGATTGATGCATTGAACACTGCTAGCACAAGGAGTGGAATAACAGACCTTGTGAGGTTCTGCACCCAAGTGAACACGATTTTAAAAGTGTCATCCTTCCATAACGCCGTCACAACTACGTCCAGCGTCGTGACATTGGTCTTAGCGTCTATTATCTCCACTGTTTTGTAACGTAACGCGTTGGGGATAGCTAAACCAGTCATGACAACGAACACGCATGCGCAGACCTTCCTTGCCAGTCTGACGGTGCACAGCGTCTTCGCTCGTGTCGGGAAACACACGTAGACATACCTCTCCACGGTGACCGATACAGTCAGCCAGGCCGTGTTGCACATGGCCACGTTGAATACAAAGTGAGCGTAAGGATACAAATGACCGTAAAGCGCATTGGCAATCACTGGGTCAATCTTCATTAACAGTATTACGATAAAGTATAAAAGATCGTTCAATAGTTTAATGGAGTCCGAGCAGGCCAGCGCAGCCAGATACACGTTAGTGGACGTCTGTAACTTGCTCTGGGCCATGACAATAATAGACAGCATGTTTCCTGTAAGTCCTAGGATACATATTATAGGGTACAGATACAACCCTGTGATTTGCTGCGCCATTGTGTAGAATTCTTCATAATCAGCATCCCTGATCGCATTGATTTCGACGTCATCTGCAGGGTTGACCGGCGCCTGTAACCCATAATCTCCCGCAGCGAGGCATGGCGACAAGCCGTAGCACCAAGAACTATTGGTGACGTCGACGTCTCCCCGCCACATTCTAGCCAGACGCGGTAAGAGCAACTGGCTACCATTCATGCTGTGTTCTCACTGGCCTTACTGTAAAGAAAAATAAATGCAGAGTATAAAAAGGGTGGAAAGCAACGTTCGTTTTTTTATGTAAAGCATGGCGCGGGGATTGGTTTTTGAAACAACTAAGAGAATTTCCTCAAATATTGTGGCGTCATGGACCTTCAGGTCAAAGGCCATACTTGTAGGTTGAGCTACCGTAGTAGTAGTAGTAGTAGTAGTAGTAGTAGTAGTAGTAGTTAAAGTAGTATTGTTATTATTTTATTATAACTGTATGTGTACAATATCGTATAGCGAGCAGAACACACATAAGAAATATATAATTTCAAACTAAAACAAAATCAAAATAATTACAACATAAGCGCAGAAGCGTCACATTCCTTCACTTAGCCTCAGAACATTGTATACAAATTTAGAAATTTAATCGCATATGTTTATATATTGATCACTGGATCATGCTTAGGATATGACAAATGCGTCGACCTGAACGCCAAGTACCGTTGACCACGTGCACATTTGGAGTGGGAATGACCGAAATATACCGGTATGTACGTTAATAAATAAATGCATAAGATATTATATGTCGGCTCCAGGAAACCCGACGTCAATAACCTCAATTCAAGGCAGGCTATATAAAAGTTAGTCCGTTTCTTAATGTCTGACTCTTGTTTTTAAGACATGGCTTTACCTGTAATTCAATTGAAAAAGCACAGATTCTCGATTTTCAGGAGATAAAAGTAAAAGGTTGATGGAAACATTTCGGTGGCGCCACCTATAATTGGCGCCAAAGGCACGGTACCCTACTGCCCTAGATACACCGTAAGGGACTGTAATGTACTGAATTATCGGTATGTGTTCCAAACATACATGTAACGCGACTAGCCATTTGTAAAGCCCTTCCCAGAAATGCCGCAGGTTAATGAATGGCGGAGCTTTAATGGGAGACACGAAAGATACTGGTATATGTATCAATCCCACAGTGTCTCCTCGGGTGTGCTAACCATTATCGTAAGAGCTCAACAGGCTGCGCCAATTAATTAGAGGAAACCTGACGATCTAGCGACTTAAAAGCTCCATTTATTAGTATTCACTGGCAGATTCAGTTTTAGGCTGGGTGAGCACAAGTATTATTTATATGTACATGTCTATCACTATTATTATTATTAGCATTATCTTCATCATTTTTTTGGGGGGGTGATATACATAAACCTTTTTTTATTTCACTGGTATATACATGCACCTATCCGACACATCAATTACCTTTCAAAAATAAAATAAAATAAAATAAATCCTTCTCTCGATTTAACCTCACTGTATTTACATATGTAAACAGTTTTTATGGGCACATCATTATCTTCCTTGCGTTCTGCCCACTTTGTTTTCTATCTTTTTGTCCCAGTGGTAAACTTGGCGCTTGCAAATTACACATTTTAAAAGTCTTACTTGTTCACGAATATTCACCGTGCTCTTCATGTCTGTTCACTACGCATATCTAATCCGTTCACCATTATACAAGAAGCTTAGGGATTTAGTTTTAATACATGTAAGTTACCTGCTAAAGCTGCCCATGCCTAGATGGTACTATAGTATGCCTGAGAAACATCATCGTGGCTTAATCTATAAAAATGTCATTTTGACATTGATTAATGTATTATGTGATAAAGAAATAACACATGGGACCAAATATGAGCACGAGTTTCCCCAAATATATTTTCTTTCGACGAATTAAGGACCTACATGTACATGTATCTGGTATGCCGCTGGAGCAAGTTAAAAAAAGCTTAATCAAAGTTCACTAATGCTACAAGGAGATGGGTACTGCACAATTATATACATGTGGAAAACAGCGTAAATAATAATACCCAAGCACTCTTGGCACCAACGAGAGAGAAATTGAAAAACATAAAAAATGCCAAAATTCTGCAAGTGTTCGAGAAACATCATTTCTCGTACGAAGTCTCCATTTGTTCTTAAGTTATCAGTTGGCTTGGGAATTATCAGACAGGTTGAGAGCCAAAATTGTTCAAAGGGAAAACTGGATGCTTTGTTTGCTTCGGTTGGTGATGAGCAAAACCAACAGCCTGACGAACTGAATGTCTGCATCAAGTACAATTATATAACAACTTAAACCATATTCTCAGTCTTGCTTAAATGCCCCATGCAAGAAAAGCACAGGGAACTTATAGGAATAAACAACAATTGGCCGGTTCAAATACCTTTGACAATTATATCACTTGAAGACATTGGAGAGTACGGCGCATTGCAGTACAACATTCAGCATTGAAAGAAAAATACTCTTAACCAACCATTATATTTTCACCCTCGATAATTGATTAACACCTGGTTTAAGCTCATTATATAGTAAAACATTCAGCACTGAAAGAAAAATATCCTTAACCAACCACTACATTTTCACCCTCGATAATTGATTTATACTTGGTTTAAATATATTGTATTATATAAAACTAAGGGTAAACTGTACCGTAGTTACAGGACATGGCGTTAGGCCATAGTAACTGCAAAACAAAATTACGAAAGAAAATTGTGATAATAATATTATGGCCGAACACTGCAAAATCAATTAAAACAAGACAGCTTATCATAAGATGGAATACCTACATGTAGATCATGTCTATGCCATTTCTCTCAGTGTGCTACATAACACGAAAACGAGTATTGATCGCATTTTTTCATAATAGCCAGTATAAACTATGCACCTTTCCACTGTATTAAAAGTTTTATGGAAGTACACTTCTCCAATCTCGTTTAGTTAAGACTAAAAAATGTTTTCTGCAGAGACGTCGTGAGTTTGTCAGTTTTCTTTTCGTTTCGGCTTTGTCGCAGTGGTATGCTTTGGATAAGATACACACGTTTAGGGGCGTATTCTAAAATGGGCCTACAAATCTCTCTCTCTCTCTCTCTCTCTCTCTCTCTCTCTCAATAGTGTACGTAGTCAAGGTTTCTACCGATGAGTGTCATCATATTCGCATAATAAAATACATCCACCCAAACGCCCAATAAATTTTATTTTCCATCTATAGGTAACAATAAGCGCCTCTATATTATGAGTTGAAACTGCGTCTATTATCCATTTAGGACATATCTATAACTCTTAAAGACACAACTAAACGCCATCGCCAACGCAAATGATGACTTTTATACATGCACCTATCCGACACATCAATTACCTTTCAAAAAATAAAATAATAAATACAATTTATGGTATTACAATGTAAAATCAATGAAATAAAAATAAAATCAAAAAATAAAATAATAAATACAATTTATGGTATTACAATGTAAAATCAATGAAATAATTGGTGTAATATTTCGTGAAGCCAAGTCTAGAGCCAACTTACCCGTTTATAACGTAAAACTGGTGACCAACAGAGTAAACATCAGACACCTGTATTGTGTGTAGGAGGAATCAACCATGTACACCGACCAAATATTATATATCGTTAGAACAACGCTGTGAGGAAATATATAAGCTTCTGGCCTAACACGTGACGTGGACCAATGGCAGAGAAGTCACAGACGTCGGCGACAGGATTTATGTAGTGGGAAAGGTATTTTCAGTGTCGCAGAGATTACGTCGTGTTGTGTCACTGAGACCAATTATTGGATGGCATGTTTTTTTAAAAATTGAGGTGAAGGCAAAAAAACATCTTTATGTCTGTTTCAATAAGCACGAACGTGATTCGTGTAGAGAAATGCCACAATTAATATAGAACTACACCTTCTATTCTTCTAAAGCCAATTCCAATACCAACTAATGTTTTAACATAGTTTTTAGTTTAAGTTTTCTTTAATTTTTTTTACATAGTGCTTTAGTACTAGTATTTTTGGCACGTGTAAAGGATTACATCGCGCACGGGTTGTCTCCTACAGTGCAGATATGTACCCAAGAGTCACGAGAAACGAGTTGTTGGCATCGTATTGCTTCAACTTTAGCATTCACAACTACGGATGCATTCGTGACATATAAATTCCAGCACAGCCTTCCATTCTTCTTTAAAACCGTACATGTTTTCTCGTCTTGAAGCTGTAGAGCAATTAGTGGCAGGAACAGTTCTGTTTAGGCCAGACAAAATTGATATAATGGTTAACGAGAACGATTGACTTAAATTTTGATGAAATGAGATTTAAGCTCGCATCAGGAAAAATGAATTGTGTTATGTTTTAGCAAGGGTACAAAACAACCCCGGAAACATTGATGACGTTAATGCTATGTTTTTTAATCGGCCACATTTTGATTTGACATTTTCAACCACTAAGTTAAAACTGAAAAAGTACTAACAATAAAAAAAATCTACCGACCCAAAAGTGTTGCTATTCATGTTAGACATAAGATGCCTAAAAACAAATTTTGTCTCCTGAGCCTGTTTACTGAGAGTCACTCCTTTTTAACCATCATACCTGTGACACCAATCCGCCTTCCATGCCAATTTCTTTGTGCCGTGTTGTTTCATGTGATTGAACATCGTTAGGAGCGTAGAATAGGCCCTCGGCCTCAGATTGTGAGTTTGAACCGGACCTTTTTATCGGGACCACTGATAATCAGTGTTCGTTTTCTTACTTTTTTATTGTGTAGGTTATAAAATCCCCATTTGAACGGAATTTAGTACAAATGATCAACAGCAATTTGCCTGCAACACAAAATTATCAAGTGTTTGCTTCAGGTCTACATACGTATCTATAACGCACGTTGTCTGTCATAAATAAGGATCCCACTGAAAAACGCGAAAAAACTTCTGGGTTTTTCAAATGCTGCCATTACTTCGTGTACTGACTTCCGAGTTGCGCGTGGCTCACAAATGTGTCAAGGAGGTTGACTGGTGGAGAGGTTCGTGAGGTGGTGATCCTATTGGCGACATAAGTACATGGTATTTATCTGTTAAAATGATCAAAATTGCTTGGCCTCAGATGATTTCAACTACTAGGTTGAAGTGGTTTGTGTAATTAACGTGTACTTAAAATCTTACATATATATTTTTATGTTATTTGGAAACAAATGTAAAGTTATCAAAAATAAAAATACTATTATTCTATATAATTCTCGTAGAATATCCCGACATGACCTTTACCGTGACCCTTGCCTGCTTTTCAGTTTGGAGATATAAACGCTTACTTCAGTAACCAGAGCTGACAGATGACAAACGTCAAATCCGACCTTGGTGAAAGATTGAGAAATGGATTCAGTACTTCATGCACGTTGCCTGAAAGGTTGGTACAAACGTTTTTCTATTTCAATGAGGCTACAAGCACACAACAGACGTGCAACTCGAACTTTTTTCTTGTCCTCCGATTGTAACAAGTCAGTTTTTTTAAATTTTTCTAATTTCGAAAATATCAAACCAAGCAACTGAGATTTGCCATTTTACAAGCCCATCGTAAGACAAACTATTATCTTCATTAATCTTAGATGCAGCAGAAAAACACATTTCAGTAAGTTATTATTTTTTGTTGTAAAGGTCATGGCTTACGCCTTTGCTAATGTCAGGTAATAAACCTCAAATTATATTCCTTGACGCAAAGCATGTGGATAGGGAGACAGTGCCTGTAACTTTTAATGAACACCAGTGGTGATACATAAAATAAAATGCATTTGACAAATGAAGAAGATACGAATACGGCTATTGTTGAAAGCGAATAGGAATGGACTGCAGGCTATGTAAAGGTATCATAGTTGATGGTGATTTTGGACCTATTTTCAATTTGGAAACCTCTTTCTATGACGTCACAGTGAAACTGTTGTTTTGCTAGCTGTAAAACAATTCAAACCGGTTTCATGTTTGAAAGAGTCAGCCGTGATGCAGTGTTCGGTTCGTATAAAATTTATGGGCACAGCACCAGTAAGTCCCATCCTAGGGTTTGACCCTCTTACGTCACGCTAACCCTCACCCTTAAGAATCTATTGGAGGACGGGTTCGCACCCAGCTACATGTAACCCAGAACTTTTTGATTTCGTTACCACAGGGTTATATATATTTATTAGACCATCAGCAAACGTGACGAGAACATTATTTTTTGTTTTACATTGTACCTATTATTATAATTGATCTGAGAAACGTTGCCAACATGATGAAATTTATGTATAATAGTTTTTTGTAAATTAAAAAAGGGGCATGCAAAAAAAGGAATATATAGATTTTGCGTCTCTACAAATTTCACAATTATTTTGATCGCATTTTACATGTTAAAAACGCCCCACTGTGTTATCGAAATATAATGATATGTGTGGGTTTTTGGAACCCGCGGACTGTCAGTACGTATCCGAAATAACCAGCTTGTGATGAAAAGCTTAAATAAACTATAATAATTATATATAGCCATAATCTAGTGCTCATTACTTCCGGAAAAGATAAAGTAGACTAAGGCATCTTATCAAAATTATTTAAAAGGACATTTTAGGGGAATATTGATATTGTTTGATGTTTATGATGAACAAACGTCCTCTCATTGATCTTAAAACATTCTTTTGTTACATATTTCTGTTCTAGCTGTTACCCTGAGCCACTATTTCTTTACAGCGGTTAATCTGTTGTACGGAAACCTATAAGGGCCGCAACACAAAAGTCACAACACAACAACCCACTCTCACACGTACGCACAAATCAACAACACAAAACCCACAACACACACATAAAACTCAGAACACAACCACACGCGCTACCGCACTGTTGCCAAACATTCCAGCATTATCTACGTCCTAGGATCGACAATGTGAGTCTAAATTAAATATATTCAATTATTTCGTAAATGTGTCAAAGTAAGTGTCAAAACAAAACAAGAATAAACCCTTGTCATGTCGTATTCTCTGTTTTATTTAATTAAATGAACATACAATTAACCTACACTTTCCCTGTCGCATTTATGTACACCCTCAAGCTAATATATATTGCATTATGTAGGTAAGCATGTTTCGCTTGGGTCTTAATAAAAATCGGAAGAAAGTGTGTTATGAAACAAATGGTGCACAATCCTTGGGGGACTACGATAGAGATAAGTGCCCAGTAAGAGGAAATACAGGTAGCAACCTCGAAGCTAAGTCTGGAGCTCAATACCGCCACGTTCACTAAAGCTCATCAAAAGTTACCCTTATGTCTCTGCAATGGGAACAGCTTTTCTTATTTCTGTTATCGGACTTTCTGTATTGAAATGTAACGAAAATTTTCCTAATTCATAAACTATAAACATTTAACGGTGCTAGCCATTGTAAAATTAACCCCGCTGCGTTAAAATAAGTTACAGCACTATTTTTATTAGGCTTATGTACCTGCGGCTTCTTGGCTTTGGAATAAAATCTGTTGCAGTGCCCGGAGTAGTCAAGATTTTAAGATGCAGAAATGGCCCTTAATGTGCGTTTACTTTGAAGACATGGCGACCCCTTTCTACTGGCCTATAATTCAACTGATCTCCAGCGACGATTTGAAGGCGCGCGGAAAAACAGACCTGCTAAAATATTTTTGAAGAAAACTCACCTTGAATTACACAGCACCCGCAGAATTTCGGGAGAAATTGAAGCTCAAGCTGAATAGGGAATAATCTTGATTTCGATGTACTTAGAACTCGAAAGAATGCAACCACAGCCGTCTTCTCACATTCTGGGCGTGTGTCGGATTGTGCACCTTATATATCTTACGTACATACCTTCTGTTACTTAACTAAGACGCACATACTGATAGCTCTAGGTCCCTGGTCATTTAATTGACTTGGTTTCCTTTTTTCAGTTGGCATTTATAACAACCGGGGGAAAATGAAGACAGACCTGGACGATTCTTGTAATTGGTTTCATAAACATCATATCTGGGATTCTTATTTTAATCAAGTACGTTCCATAATCATCATCTTTGGGAATCTATTTTTTTAATCACGTATGTTTTTCGATTCCTTGCCATAGTCCTTTGCGGACTGACACTTACATGTTTCGGAACGATCGAGCCTCCTGTTGATCTGGCTCGATGCAACGGCATGCGGTGATTTAATTCTGAAGCATGCAAGAAGCAGTCAATACTGAAGTATCCTTTGCAATTACGGGCCTCTGGTATCTACAACATACACGTTATACCAATCATATTCATTGCCATTGCACCGAGAGTGCCATTATAAATTGAGGGTTTCGTCGAGTAAAGCACCTGCCACCGTGTGGTGACATAAGGTTTTGCACTGCATGATAAAGTCGTGCATTATCAATGGTAATCAATAACATTCGTCACAGCCCAAACTTGAACTCGACACCGGTGTTTATGCTGTGTTATGGGACCGAAGCTGCAACAGGTTTCTGTGCTTTACGTCCTCTAAGTAATTGGACATTGATTAATGTCTCCCTCCGAGTTTTAAGTAGCTTGTACTCATTACTCCACATTTATTACATCAGGCTTTTATAAATATGACTGTATTTCATAAGTCAACTGAATAATTAACTTAGTTACAATCAGTTCATCACATTTGCGTCCTATGCACTTCTGTTAACAACGCAAACACGGTTATTATTAAATACTTCAATCCGTATATAGATATATAATAATGGGTTGTTCATGGGATTGTGCCAATTTCTGTTCCTGTTTTAAGTAAGTATGTTTAATGTGATAGTGCATGTTGGATGATTGACAAAACGCACATTATGTGAAACAATTACCGGCTAGAAATGTGATTAATTTGGTGGAATAATGGTTTAAATATCGGGTTTTATTATTGCAATGTTTTATTTGGCTACATGTATATGCCTATTTTGTTGGAGCATCTTGCTTTTTAACCTTAACATCCTCATTTTTTCTGTATTGTGCACCTAAATAAACCTAAAATATACAAAGAACTATCTTAAAATAAGCAAAATTTAAATATACAAACCATTTTTAAGTATAACAGTGATAATTGTGCTGTATTTTTTAAAAGTATTTTTATTTCATCTCTATACTCGACCGCTGTCCTGGGGCTTCGTACATGTAAACATCTTCATTTTAACGAATAGAGGATAATTTGAAAAAGATTACTTGAAAATTACCAGGGCCTTGTAGAAAATTGGCACACGACGGGTCGGCCTTCACGTCATGGTTAAATAAATGCGTGCTGATTTGTTGGCCGCATAGAGTATGCACAGCAAGTGTCCAATCAACCCTTCACTACATAGATATGTTTAGCGCGATGTATGTCAATTTTCAAACGGCTACAAAACTGTTAATATTATGAGGGACAACCAGCATCATATGTGAGTTATTAAAAAAAATTGAAGTGTTCATGACTTCATATGTTTTTTTAGCGAAAAGGCTATAAAACTATTTTTCTATGTGACATCTCTGATGTCTAAGTACCCGGTAGGCATTCAAATCCGAGGCTCGTAATTCGGTCTGTGGATTTCTATAACATGAGATGTATCAACGTGTACCCCAGCTAGAGAAAGCGCCATTGGTCATAATTGTTTGTATTGACCATATCTGCACATTTAGGATGGTTTGCGTTTAATTACTGCCCCAGTTGCATC